GATTCAAGCCTTTGCATAACTTACAGATTCGAAAATACTTTAGCGTTACAACTACATATCCCACACGATATTATGGGCCTCCACGAAGAATTTGAGGTTCACAGATTTAATCGAGTCATCGAATAATTCGTAGAACTTCAAGATACATAACTCCAGGACAATTTAGAGAATGGAACATATTTTGTTAATTAAACTTCTTATTTCAATTGATTTAATGAGGTCCCACAAAACTATAAGGTAGTATAATAAATATGGACATCATACAAGACTTTGTTGAGCCTGTAGGTTATCATAAAAGTAGCCCATATGACATTATGGGGCTCCACCAAGCTTTTTGGGTTTCTGTAGAACATATAGACCTGAACTCCAGGTAAATTTGGAGACTGGAAAATATGTTGTTATCACAATTTGTTATCACACTTGATATGTCGAGGTCCTACGAGGTCCCATGGATTAGTATAATAAATCTGGACATCATACAAGACTTTGTTGAGGCTGTAGAACATAAAGATCCAAGCCCCACGAGGCCTATTGGGTTCTCAAATTAAGACGAGACATCGCATAAAACCTCGTTGTATCTGTAGAACATTAAGATCTAGGCTACAGGACAATTTGGAGAATGGAACTTATTTTGTCAATACAGCTTCTTATCTCACTTGATGTGGTGAGGTCCCATGGAGCTTCATGAATTTGTATAACAAATATGGACATCATACAAAACTTTGTTGAGCCTGTAGAACATCAAGACTCAATCCTCAAGATAACTTGTAAATCCCATCATGGTTTGTTATTACACCTACATATCCCACATGATATTATCAACAATCAATACGAAACTAACGATTTTAAATTGGCTCACTTTTTAACTAGCCTATTGGTCCCAAGCAAACGATTAACGTATCCCATTCTAGTCGAAATTCTAGTACTACGCAATGTTTGTTTTGATTCGCTATGAAAGTTTGACAGATAAAATGAGGGGTGATTGGTTTTTCCTCTGTTTCGAGGGGTGAATCGATTAGCTTGGGACCGAAGATAGTACCAGAGCTGAGCCAAAAAGTTGAGCACGTTTCTTCGGGACCTTCTAGTCTTAGAGTTACCTCTATGATATTATGGGCCTCCACGAAGTTTGTTGGGTTCACAAATTTAGGAGAGATATTGTAGATACCTTGTTGAATCTGTAGAACGCGAAGATCTGAACTCCAGGGCAATTTGGAGAATGGAACATATGTTGTTAACACTTTTATATGCCTCACATGACGTTATGGGGCTCTATGATGATGCAGGTTGAGTAAAACAAAATCTCGTTGAGCCTGTAGAACTTTTTTTTTTTCTTTATTATTGATATGTTTAGCCAGTTGGCTAGTTCATCTCATTGATCTGTAGAACTTGAAGAGCTAAGCTTCAGGATGATTTTAGAACCAGAAATATGTTGTCAATATGATTATATGTATCCTTCATATTGCTATTGGACTTAATGAATCTCTACGGGATCAAAAATACGATCGGCACATTGTATACATACTTATTTGGGTCATTGATGTATTTGGGTTGTAGCCCAGAAGGATCTAGGCACTTTAGAGCAAAATAAAAAAGGCGTTTGTTCAGAATTCCAAAATAAGCGTTTTGGCCAAGTTTGGCTCAAATCGGTGACATCGACCACAACTTTTTTGTAAATTCTGTACCCACTTGAGCTGGACTGACCCTTATTTGAATCTTGTATTTTTTTTTCAAAATGGCGTCTTTAATATTTTTCAATAAATTGTAGCACGAGAAAGTCCCTTCTGATCAAAATGACTCATGAAGAATGCCTTTTTTTGTTAATATTTAAAACCACTGCTTCTTGAAAATAGACAAAAATCGTAGAACACCAACTTTTCGTCATATATTTTCACAGATAACTATTTAGAATGTGTTAAATATTGTTTCCTAGACCAGAAGTTCTTAAAAATTGAAGATACACTTTTTTTTCAATATTTAAGTTTTTAACACTTATATTGGAATTTATTCTCAATATAACTTTAAAAAAATACCATGTATATTTTTCTAAGAAAGACTTAATTTTTCTCTACCCCTTTGCCTCGGACGTCATTACTATCAGACGTGACGTTTCTGTGCTACAATTTATAGAAAAATGTCAAATACGTCATTTAATAAAAAAATCAAAATTCAAAATGGCCAAATGTTTGCAAAATTATGAATCATTACTCATAACAAACAATTATGCAAAGTTTCAACCAAATTGGAGAAGGTCGAGTCTGGTCGATTCGTCATTTGGCGTGAAACTGGTCAATACTGATATTTGACCTTGCATCTGAGCCCCGATCCAAACCATTTCTTGTTTCCAATCTAAGTTCCTCGGAAACGCCTAAAACCAACGCTCATAACCGTCAACCAGGTGTCTACTCGGCTGTCGACAAAAGCAGGCCACTCTCGATGTGTGCCACGCGATCGTCTGTTTTCTCGGCAGCAACCATTGTGTGGTCCTCCTCATTGTTCTCCATCAGCAGTTCTTTCGGTCGATGCGTCGTCGACTTTGCAAACAACCGTTTAGTGCTGAGTGTGTGAGTGCTGACCACGTTTTGCATCCATTGCTGCAATGGAAGCGCTCTGACCCTCGTTGGCGTAACTGCCATATAATGAAACCACTGGAAGCGGCTCCAGTTCTGATGGAGGAGGCTTTTTGGATAGCGGAAGACAAAGTGTTTATTGTGTTGTACCTTTTGACTATAGTTTTAAGATGTATTGTATAGTGACCAAGAATCCTCGGCTCTGTAAAGTTAATTCGTTTGAGCCTTATCAAATAAATCAATAAACAAAAAACCGTCAACCAGGATAGCTTAGGGCCAGAATTCCCTGTAGATGATTGTAACCCGTAACGCACCACTAAGAGTCGGCTTACAAGCGTTACGGCTCAAGAATACGGTGCGAATAGAATGATGAGAGATGTGAGGAGTGAAATGGGAAAAGTTAGACAGTGAGAAAAGTGAATCAGAAATGGATGTTAGAGATATTGGAAGTATGATATTGGATTGTGAGTTAAGTGTGAAGTGAGTGTGTGAGATGTGAGTAGACATGGGCTGTGAAAAGTAAACAATGAATGAGTGAGACATAAGAAGTAGAATGTGAATAGTTAGTAGTGATGAATGGATGCGCGAAATGAGAGGAATGAAATTTTCAAAGTACGATAGTGAAAAGCGAGTAATATGTGAGATGAGATGTAATTATTGTTGTTCCATTTCTCATTGGTTCATTATTTAATCCGTAACACAACAAAATTAATTACCAATCTTCGCAAGGCTCTTGAAAGATTTAGATTTAACGACCACATTTCTAGTTATTGAAGAAAAACTGGAGAACCAGTATTTGGTCATCCGTGGTTCAGATACACACACTCGAATTTCCTCCTCTTTTTATTCGATTCCCTGTGTTCCCATCGACCATCTTTCCAAGAGACCATTTCTCGATTACTTTTTCAAATGAACGTCAATTTGTCGAAATTCTTAGCACCATCATAAAGAGCAATGTTTCCCCAACAAGATTGTGTTGTTAGTTTGCGTAGGAGTGCTAAGAGTTTCGACAAATTGACGTTTGAATCTGTGTTTACAAAATCAGGCACGTCCTTTTGGAAAATTGATCGAGATTTGTCTTTTATGATAGATTAGAATTAGAAAAATGCTTCCCATCTTCAACTTCATTGAACAGTCATTTTTCACATTTTTCATTTCAACACACTTTCTATCAATTACGATATTTTACACCATTTAAAGCAATCAAAACCAGTCCCCTAAGCTACAGCAAACGCTCAAGACTCAACACATCGATTACACCCCATTAAATAGCTACTTATCACACCGGAAACAACCGTCACTTCCCTTTACTCGACCTGCCAGAAACGAAACACTTCCGATCCTTCGTCCGCACAAACGAGGCGTGGTAATCTTTTCCAGACCGTAACCAAAATGGGGCCACCATCTGCTACCATGTACCTAATGGCCAGACGAGCGACCGCCAGCGTCGCAGAAAAAAAAAACAATACACTCTACCCGGCACCGAACTTCCTCCAAAGCCTTCCTCTAATAGCCACTAGCCGAGGCCCATTTTTCATTGCCAACGACCATAAAACAATACACCTCTCCCTATGTTGCAGCCACACGCTACTTACCCATTGTGCCCAGTGAAATGGCAGTCGAGGGAAAAGTAACTCATAATGTCGTAAATTTTTATACTACACTCAGTTAACGTTAACCCAGCTTCCGAGGCTGGGTGGAAAATGAAGAAAAACAAACTTAAAGCCTATTGGATTTGGAACTTTTCCTGTATGGGGGGTAAGCTACTTTGACGATCTCATTTCAATGCGCAATGCTTTCCGACAAAGGCGCCGCCGGAACTTGCCATTTCCCAACATCTTTTATGAACAATAAACTGTCTTATCGATAAATATTTACTACCACCAAGCGCGTACCTCTCTTCAATTGACAAGATCATCTCGTCGCCATCATCATCGATACTGTGAGCAAGTTTACTACCCTTCCATGTAACAAAATATATCTACCTAATCTTCCGGAACCAATAGAAGTCGAGCACACGCGTGTCTGGCTGAGTTCAGTACTGCGAGTAGACGTTACGTACTCGCAAACGTCACATCAGATCTGTCAAATTGATTAATTTTTTACTACCCATCATGGAATGGTCTGCCTCGTGCGAGTATGTGTGTGTGAGTAGTTTTTATATTGTACTCGCAATAATAATCGACAAGGATCGTAAAATCGGTCAGCATGAAACGTGGCACGTGGTGACAGCATCCATCATCAAAAACAGCAAACACGATAAAGCACATCCCATACCTCCCTCACACTGCTTCTGCTGCTCTGAGCCTGATGATTTAGGTAATCAATCCTGTCAGCGTGTGGATGTGTGAAACAGTGAGTGGGATGTTAGAAGGTATAATCCGTCCGTATGGCTGGTTAAATTGATTTCCGTTTTTCTTTTTCCCGTTGCAGGTGGGGACCGAATCAACGGTGCTGCATCCCACGCACGACAATCTGCACTGGGCGTCGAGGGATCTCAACATTCAGGTGAGTTGGGTTTAAAACTTTGTCAGAGTGGACATTGGTACAATGGTGAAGTGGTTTTGATGCCAATGCAATGTGGGACGGATCAGCCAATAACAATCTTTTCTGTCTAAGCCTAAATACTTACTTTCCAAAGGGAAGGCATATGAGATTTCTAATGGATTTCCTAGTTACCGCGAGAAGTATTGAAAAAGAACCAGTTTCCAGGTTTGTCAAGAATTAAGTGACTCAATGAACTGGGCTACCTGTACCTGATTGCATTGTACTGTCATACACTTCTGGATCAACAATAGAAAAGGGCCCATCAGCCTCGTGTAGATAGAAGTTTCCCCTATTCGATGATGGTGTTGGTTTGCGTGGGTGACCTTCGCTTTGTGAGGAATGTGCTTTGGAACGGTTTGTTTACAAATGCTGATGGGCCCTTCTCTATTGTTGATCCAGACTTGCGTTACTCAATTTAAAGTGAAATCTCGTTAAAGCGTACATGACACAATCAATGCTCAAAAAGAAGGGGAACATGACACGCAAAGTTGCATCCCTAGTGAGGAAATCTACCTAAAACACATATGAATTTTGAAGCTAACACCACTATAATCATGAGGAAACTTTACCCTACCTAATGGTGGTGCTTGGGGTTTCTATTCCCAGGAACGATTTCCGGGGAAATTTTTTATCTTTATTCATTAGAGATTCAGCTGAACTTCATTTTCTTCGTTGAAATTAATCATTTGTATGATGTGTAGTACTAGAATTTCTACTAGAGTGGGGTACGTTCATCGATGTACTAGGGAGCGATAGGCTAGTCCAGTGTGAGCCAATTTAAAATCGTTAGTTTCCACCTAGGTTTCCACCGGTTGGTAGTATCATCATATTTGCCACAGGAAATCTTGTTGAACAAATCGACTTATATCCATTGTCACGACGGAACGCCTCATCGAAGCAACGCTTCACACTGCAGCGCAGCACTAGCTGTCAACGTAGTGACATCGATGCCGAGGAACGTCACGGACTGTCAGAATGTCCACAAAATGGAAGAAAGAGAAGGACTGCAGAGTAACTGAGGTCTGTATCGACAGTGCTAAATTAATTGTTCATCAATACGGTATTAATTATATGTAGTGTGATATTATCACAATTTGTTAGTCACTAATGAACTAGCCTACGGCTAAAAATTTCCCAAATAAAAAAAAACTAATCTAAAAAAGTCTATCTAAATCTAACTATTTACAGATCATGAAGCTAGTTTCCTATGCAATTTACGGTTCAGCGCTAAAATTTAAACCTACACACTTAGAAATTATCGCCGACTTCGGTAATTTTTACCGAAATCTGAACAGCTGAACTTTTCTAATGTAATCTAATACAATCGCAGCCAGTACGAGAAAGCATAATGGAAAATCATTGGGTTAGATAAGACCTAATCATTTTTCTTGTCAACATTGATGTTTGCAGCATATCTGAGATATGACACAAACATCAAAACGGCCAGGCCTACTGCGTTGCATTTACCGCAAAGATGCTTCTGTGAAAGGAATCGAGTTCAAATAAACCGTGGAGGCACCATATTCGAAGCAGTTGCTAAATCGAAGCACTCCATAACGTTCGACTATTTTAAATAATTATTTTTGAAATGATACTTCTGCAAATATAAGTTTCAGTGCTCTAGGGGGATGATGGTGTTACAAGGCTTTAAAAAAATATCTTGTCAAAATAGACGAGTGCGTCATCATAAGGAACTCAGTGATGCAAAATATCATGACACTCACGTTACACTCGTCTTCGCACCAACCGACTATCGCTGACAGATCGTTTTGTCACGCAGTGAGAGTTAAGGCCCACGCACATTAGATCCGGATCGGACGCGTTGCGGCAAAGTGACAGCTAAATCTATTGTCTAACTGTCAAATTTACGTCAACGCAACGCAAACGGATCTAATGTGGGTGGCCCTTTAGAGCCATGGCAAACAACAATCACCAGTAATGGTCGCTGCTCACAAGCAAAACGCTACACTCGCTGCTGATGATGAAAAGCACAACGAAAACAGTGAAGACTTCTGCAGTACGATCATGAGAAAAAGCGAAACGACAGAAGAAAATGAAAACAATTCCTACACATTCCAAGTTCGTCTCGGCAGGCGCGAGTATGTGAGTTACAAACAAAGCAGGCAACATTAAACGGAAGCTGTTGGGCTCACTCACCAACACACTCACATAAGCAAGCAAAGCAGCAGCTGCTTCAAAACGAGCACAGATGAGTGTCGTGATTGTCAGGAATGACCAGATCGGTGATGGATCACAACATAAGACGACATTCACCAGTTGCTTTTTACTTCTTTCGTCAACTTGATGGATGGTCATGGAGAGAGCTTCGACGAGCACATTGATAGGAATGTACAAAGCGGTACTACCATCAGCTGTTTGGCGATCGTGATTGTGATAGGTCGCAACTCTGTAAGGAACGCGTCAAATATGGTGCTGGCATGGTATATCTAAACAGCGATGCATTTCGTGAATCTTCAGGGGTGGAAGGATGCGTGGACATACCGTACCAAACTGAACGATGAGACGTTGGGGGTTTGGTGGCTTGACAGTGGCTCCAGGAACATCTTAAATCTCGGCTTTGGTGGCGACCCAGAACCGGGCAACCGAATCCAGGTCCATCTATGGTAGTTGTTGACCGGATCAGCACCCAAGCATAAATATAACACAGGTCATCTTCAGACTGGAATTTCGAACCGCGGATAATGTGCTCCAATTACGAGGCAAGCTATCACACATAAATTATTAATTTTGAATTTTTCCAAATATTCAAACGCGACAAAGAAAACAAACGTCACGGTCGTACGGACGCACAGCCTACTCCATCAAATCGGAACAGCTGATAACTTTTCGGTAAAATTTATGCAATTCAATTCAATTGCTTTTCAGCTACTTGGAAACTAAATCTCCACTAAAATGACAAGATTTGATTATTTAAACAAGGTTCAAAATGTTTTGATATTATTTTCAAATTCAATGGCCTTTAAAATGAAGGTCAAAGTTTTACCGAACGTTCAGCTGTTCTGATTTCGGCAAAATTTACCGAACACGGAAACAAAATCTTAGTGTGTATATTCTAAATATTGTAAGTAGAGGATTGATGAAACGTGAATTGAACTTAATACTAGCGTAGAATTTATAGATTAAGTAAGTACAGTTAAAACTAACGCAGTGGACAGTGGGAATCAAGCCGCACCACTTCCAAAGACAGTACACCAAATTTGTAAGTCGTAAATCTCAGGTTCGCTATAAAAATATCCTAAATAAACATGTCATTGCAGCATAAAGCTCATACACAACAAAAACGTGTTGCTCACCTAGAGTTGGTGACCCTACCCAACAATCATCATTAACATGGAACAAACGACCGTACCATACCTTACCAATCAGGCTAAGGCCTTGTTGTCCTCTGCTGTCCGAAGAAGTCGTCTCCACCCTACAGGGTCCGCCGGTCGCCTTCTACTTGGTCGATCCACCTTGCCCGCTGCGCGCCCCTTCTTCTTGTTCCTGTTGGGTCGCTTTCTATAACCATTTTCACTAGGTCGTCGTGCGGCATTCTTAAGCCGTGCCCAGCCCACCGTAGACGCCCAATTTTTGCAATGTGGACGATGGATGGTTCTCCCAGCAGCTAGTGCAATTCGTGGTTCATTCGCCTCCTCCACGTTCCGTCATCCATCTGCACTCCACCGTAGATGGTACGCAACACGTTCCGTTCGAAAACACCAAGGCCGCGTTGGTCCTCCACGAGCATAGTCCAGGTCTCGTAGAGCACCACCGGTCTAATCAGCGTCTTTTTTTCGACCGGAGCGTCCTCCGGAGTCCAAAGTAGGCACGATTCCCTGCCATAATGCGTCTTTGAATTTATCTGCTGGTATCGTTTTCAGCGGTCATCAGTGAACCCAGATACACGTACTCATCGACCACCTCGATTTCGTCACCGTCAATCTGAACTCGGGGTGGGAGGCTTACATTGTCTTCCCTAGAACCTCTTCCTTTCATGTATTTTGTCTTTGATGCGTTGATGTCAAGTCCAATCAGCCTAGCTTCAGCCTTCAGTCTGATGTACGTTTCCGCCATCTTCTCAAAGTTCCGTGCCAATGTCAATGTCATTGGCGAAGCCAAGAAGCTGGATGGACTTTCTCAAGGCCACTCGTGTCTATCCCAGCTCTTCTGATCACACCTTCTAACGCGATGTTGAATAGCAGACACGAAAGTCCATCACCTTGCCGTAACCCCCTTCGAGATTCAAAGGGACTCGAGAGTGTCTCCGATACTCGAACAACGTATATCACTCGATCCATCGTCGCCTTGACCAATCGCGTCAGTTTATCCGGAAATCCGTACTCATGCATAATCTGCTGAATATAATGCTAGCGGCATAGTGGCAAGTGTAAATACTCCAATAGACTGAAATCCGTTTGAAACCCTACAATAAGCGCGTTGCGGCAAAAGTTGCATTGTACTAAAACGCGTTTTTTGTCTCAACATTTTGGAAAAACGCAGTGTGGCAACCTGAGAAATGCTCAATGTTTTCAATTTATTTTTTGTAATGCTGAATCAACCAGAACCTTTAAGACGTGCACCAAATAATCATCCATGGTTGTAGTAAGTAGTCAGAACCATGTTGGCCATATACGGACATGTTCCGGGTACCCCCGGGGATGTGGTTAGATACTTCCAACACCCTCATGCGACACATACAACTACATCAGAATTCAAAAATAAGCTCATTGGTGACCATATTAAATACTTAGTACCACGTTGGCCAGATCCGGGCATGTTCCGGATACCCCCGGAGAAGTGAAACTTGACCTACATCCTCATGTGACACATCAAACTACGTCAGAATCCAAAAATAAGAACATTGGAGGCCATATTTATTACTCAGAACTACGCTGGCCAGACAAGTTCCGGGTGTTCTCGGGGAGTTTCATAAATTTCATGAAATTTCCCTGAGGCCAATA